AGTATATGCAAGTAATATGTGCTGCATATACTTGCTGAATTATGATAAAATCATTTCAAACCATTAAAAAGTCTTTAATATGGCTTATTTTATGTTAATAATTGACTGGTTGCTCTAATTATTCAGAGTTTGGGTTAACTATCTGTTACTGATTGATACAGGGTCTTTGTCAACCAAGCTGGAGTGCAGTGGTATTGACCATAGCTCACTATAACCTTGAACTCCTGGGTTCAAGCGATCCTCCTTCCTCAGCCTCCTGAGCAGCTAAGACTACAGGAATGCATGTTTGGCTAATTTTTTTATTTCTTATAGAGACAGGGTCTTGCTAGCAGCCCTTCTTTTTTTTTTTTTTGAGACAGAGTCTCGCTTTGTTGCCCAGGCTAGAGTGAGTGCCATGGCGTCAGCCTTGCTCACAGCAACCTCAATCTCTGGGGCTCAGCGATCCTACTGCCTCAGCCTCCAGAGTAGCTGGGACTACAGGCATGCGCCACCATGCCTGGCTAATTTTTTGTATATATATTTTTAGTTGGTCAATTAATTTATTTCTATTTTTGGTAGAGACGGGGTCTCGCTCAGGCTGGTTTTGAACTCCTGACCTTGAGCAATCCGCCCGCCTCAGCCTCCCAAAGTGCTAGGATTACAGGTGTGAGCCACCACACCCGGTCTGTTTGTTTTTTGAGGGTTTAACAGAATGATCTTTTTTGCCATGGTTTTAGAAACCTTATGAACACAATTTTTAACTGGCTATGTATTATAAGATATTTTAAATAAACTGACTTGGAGTTTTCATTTAACGTTGGGCATGAATGGAGTTTCCAGTTTTTCACCAATATAAATCATATTATGGAGAACCAAAGTTTTAAATAGTTAACCCAAAGCTGGGCCCGTTGGCTCATGCCTGTAATTCCAACCCTTTGGGAGGCCAAGGTGGAAGGATCTCTTGAAGCCAATGAGTTAAAGACCATCCTGAACAACATAATGAGACCTCCATCTTTAAAAAAATAGAGAAATTAGCCAGGCATGGTGGTATACAGCTACTGGGGAGGCTGAAGCAGGAGAATCACTTGAGCCCAGGAGTCTGAGGTTGCAATGAGCTATGATGACGCCACTGTACTCTAGCCTGGGCAACAGAACAAGATCCTGTCTCAGAAAATAAGAAATAAAAAACCATAACATATGCAAAGAAAGTCAAGGGAATTTCCTTCACCTGTCTAGTGAAAAAGAACAAGAAAAAATAAAATAAAATAAAAAAAGAAAGTCAAGGGACTGGCATATATACTCTGTCAATAGTAAATGCCACTATTATTGATATTCAGAAAGGAATTTTTTAATTCTATGTTAATCTTCTCTGTATCATTCCAATTTTAGTATATGTGCTGCAAAAAAAAGCACAGGTAATTTTTTTTTTTTTTTTGAGACAGTCTCACTCTGTTGCACAGAGTAGAGAGTGCCATGGCATCCGCCTAGCTCACAGTAATCTCAAACTCCTGGGCTCAAATGAGCCTCCCCTCCCACCTGGTCCTCCTAGAGTGCTAGGATTGCAGGCGTGAGCCACACTGCACCTGGCCGGGAATTGTGTTTTTTTCTTTTTTTTTTTTCTTTATTTGAATCAACATTAGTGAGAAGGTAATTATTTTCTAATTTCAGACTCAAATAATTTTCAGCCCTCTTTCAAAATGGCTTTGAGTGTGCACTGGCTGCGCCTGTAGTCCCAGCTACTCAGGAGGCTGAGGCAGAAGGGTTGCTTGAGTCCAGGAGTCTAGGACTGTAGCATGCTAAAGACCATGCCTATAAATAGTCACTGCACTCCAGCCCTGGCACTGCAGCAATACCCCGGCTCTTTAAAAAAAAAAAAAGAAAGGCTTTCAATTTCCCCAAACTATTCTTTAACCTTAAGGCAGGATCCACTGATTCTGCCCAGCTAAAGTCAGAAACAACCATTCATACGGTTAGTACTTGCTATGTGGACCAAAACATGAACATGCACATATCCCCCCCCCCAAAAAAGATTTTATTTATAAGCCTAAACTAGTACTTAAAAAGTTTTATAAACTTAAAAAAAATCCTAATTTAAGTCACAGTATTACAAAGAACAGTTGGGATTTCTGCAAAATCTTTACAACCTATATACTAACACATTACTGTTTATTAGACACTTTAAATTTAGACAATTTAATTTTGTTTCTGTATTTAGGTTTTTGTTCATAGCCTTATTAAATTATATGGAAAAATATTACAAATAACTCATTTTAGCAATACACTGTTCTTTACAGATACTAATTATAGTGGACATTTTTCTTTATTTCACAATCCTACTTTTGCCTTTCTGATGGGGAGGGAGGAATAACTATATTGCCTGCTGATTGCCTAATTGGTCCTCCCTGACCTCATATGCCTCCCAATCAAATGAGCCACTGAAGACTAGGAAAATTCAGACAGCCACTGAAAGACTAGGAAAATTAAAATATATATATATATTCCCCACCAAAATCAATGCAATAATCAAATTTTAACTTTTGTTTTACTCTTTTGGAAAGGGGTCTTGCAGAAATCTCGGCAGTTTATGATGGTCCAAAGGTAATTCAAACAGTAAGACACCCAAAATCAATGGAGAAAATGTAGGAAGAACTCAAATGACTATGAACAGAAAGTGCTAGATGAGGTTTTGGTTTGGGGAATGAAAAGCAACACACAAAGAAGGAGAAAATACTCCAAATTTACTTTAAGCCTGGTAGGCTCTCAGCACTCAATACAAGAAAACAAATGAAGACAATGAGACTCCGTAGCTCAGGGGCAGTAAAGTGATTAAAAAGATAGATTTGGGTTCAAATCCAAGTGGCAGAACTTGTTCCAAGACCCCTAGTGGATACATGAAACTATGGACAGTGTCGAACCCTATATATGTAGTATATTTTTTCCTATGCATACCTATGATAAAGTTTAATTTATAAATTAAACACAGTAAGAGACTAACAAAACAATTATAATAACAATGTATTGTTATAAAAATTATGTGAATGTGGTGTCTCTCTCTCCAAATATCTTATTGTATTTTTGGATGGAGGCTGACCACAAGAAGCTGAAATCTAGTACGTGAAAAAGCAGGTTACATGAGAGGCCGAGGTAGGTGGATTGTTTGAGCTCAGGAGTTTGAGACCAGCCTGAGCAAGAGCAAGACCCGTCTCTACTAAAAATAGAAAGAAATTAAGTGGCCAACTAACAATATATAGAAAAAATTAACCAGGCATGGTGGTGCATGCCTGTAGTCCCAGCTACTACGGAGGCTGAAGTAGGAGGACTGCTTGAGCCCAGGAGTTTGAGGTTGCTGTGAGCTAGGCTGATGCCACAGCACTCTAGCCAGGGCAACAGAGTGAGATTGTCTTAAAAAAAAAAAAAGCAGGTTACAGAAAATCATTTGTAGTATGACAACATATTTGTATACAATACATAAATACAAAAAAGTCTGGAAGGATATAAACTATCATTAACATTTTGGTAATCTTTGGGTGGCAGGATTACTGATGACTATTTTCTACTCATCTGCTTTTATCAATATTTTCTCCAATTCTCACAAAATAGTTCACACAAGCAAAATTATTAGTTATAGGTTAGCATAAAAGGTCAAAAGCTGGAAAAGGAGGACTTCAAGAAAACTTTCCTTCACCTAAATCAGCAGGATTCCAACTGTGGTAGTAAGAAAAAAGATCTCAACAGCACACACAGGAGAAAAAGATTAATTAAGAGGTCCATATCATACCGCAATAAGGACATACCCTTCAAGGAAATAATCTAAATTCATAAGAACTCTTCCTGGATCTGATAAAGAGTAATTATCACATACTTTTGTTGCTCTTTCTGTTTCTGTTAACCACAGAAACACTTCAATTAATGAGTTGGGGGGGGGAGTGTTCTTTCCAAAAACCAAGTTAGGACAAAAAAGGTTTGGTTTTCTGACCTCGCTGCTGGAGGGGTGCAGAGGATGGCAGCTTCCAAACAGGCTAAAGGAACCTACGCCACCAGTCGCCTTAAGTGGGAGGGAACACAGGCTTTCTGCAACCTCCACAGCACTGGGCAGCAAAGAAAACGGCTTCTAAGAGTCTCAAGACTAAAACACCTGGAAGGTCTTACGTTTTCCAAGCTATTGTATGTATAGTGGCCAACCGTTTTCTTTTCTACAAATGTAGGTATTACGTGCGTGAAACTCATCCGACTCTCTTGATGCAAAACTAAGACATTCTATTATTAAGGCCACATCCTCGATTTTGCCAACTGGGACGAATGAAAACACCCTACCGACTCTCTACAACTAAAAACATCATGTTGGCTAGAGCCATAACGCATACAAACAGCCAATCTGGCCAACTTTAGCTTTAAATAGCAACGGGGACCTCAGGTATTGCGGGTCACACGCTTGTCGCACACTATTTGTTCCAATAAAGCGTGCAACCTCTACTGTCAGCCCTGGTTCCACTTAACTGGACAAAACAGAAAACGGGAATCCTTTAAATTCGCGACACAATAGGAGCTTAAAAGCTTTCCTGCCTCATCTGTCACAACAAAGACGCAGCCTAGTGACTTCATACCCAGAAACGGCTGAAGGAGACGGATGAACGACAGAGCGTGGTTCAGGGTTTGTGAGGTCGCCTTCCAGCCGCGACTCCCTTCTTTCTGCTCCATCACGCGCCTCCACCCGTGCTGACTATCTAGCCCTTAGAACAAAACCACCGTGGCTACCGTCCACTTTCCTGCCGAGCCCGACTCGACTTCCGGAGAGAAAGCCAAACTGCAGGCTGTCCGCCTGGCTCTCCGCCGGGGCACGGGCTCGGCAGCGGCGGGCTCCTCCCCGGGCAGCGTCGCCAGCCCGGCCAGGGCCACCGGCCATCCCGAGGAGCGCCCCGTTCGTTCTCCGCGGCCGCCGAGAGCCAGGAGTCTGAGGAGCCCCGGCAGGACCGGGGCGCGGGAGGTGGGCTAGCAGACGGGCGGGGAGGGGAGCCACTCACCCGCCCAGACAACAACCGAGGGGCGGGGAGGCTCGGGCCGGGCCCAGGCTCGGCAGAAAGACCGGCTGGCGCTTCCGGAACGCTGCGGCTGCTCCGGACGCCGCCGCCGCTGCAGCTCCTGGCCGCGGGCTTCCTCCCCTCCTCTGTTTTGATTCGATTGGCCACGTCACCCTTAGGCCACGAGACCCGGATCTGCCGGCTCCCGAGGGCGGCGGCGCAACAGCTTGTAGCGTCTCGGGACCCCGGCCGCCCCGCCTGCCGAGCATGCGCGCCCCGCGCCCGCCCTGTGTGTCCGGGAGAGCGGGCGGGCGCGCCGCTCCGGGCGTCACGGCACGCTGTGCGTGGGGGCGCGGAGCGCGCGGATGTGGTTCCGGTGGGGAGGGGTGGGGCTGAGGCCTGCGGGGCCGCGGGCCGCGGGCCGCGAGCGCGTGTCTGCTAAGCGGGCTCTCTGGCGTAGTCTGTTTCGTCGGTGGTGGACGGTGTCCTCTGACGTGTGTCCCTTTGCCGTAGGCTTTAAAACACCCGGGTAGAGGTAGAGGTGGGTACAAATTGATATCTGCCGAGACAGGCTCCCCTTGTAGAGATTGTTTTCTGATCACTCAGGCCCAGGTGAAAATTGGAGATGAGGAATATAGAAGTACATCAAGTGCGGACATCGTTGATCCCTTTTACCTTCCCTAACATTTTTGCAGCGGAAAGCTGACCAAAATGAGGTTCAGCAGGAGTGCTGGAGGGAATACGTGACCAAAGATGATTTGCTGGTCAGGGGAAGGGGAGCACTGTTAGGCAGCCAGCCCAAGCCTTTGTTGCTTTCGTCTTGGAAGTTGGAATAAGGATGCTGGTGTGGCAACAACCTCACTCCTTTTTAGATCAAGTTGATGCTTACCACTTTCCCATTCTATTCTCTTAGTCTCCCCGCTGAACCTTTCAGGCCCAGGAAATGTCCTAACTTGGCAAAATTTAGAATTACATTGTTTTCTTAGGTGAACAGACAATCTTTAATTAAAATGAGACCGGTAGTAAATATTAAAGTGTGAGTCCCAAACAAAGATTTCATAAAAATACCTCTGCCAGTCCTGCAGGCGAAGTGAAAGTTAGCTGTAAGAAGCTGTCTTCCTTATTCTGACTTGACCTTTTTACCTATCCAGACTTATAGCTAGGCTATTTGGTTATTACCTCTCAATAAGCTGAGTCATCTTTAGCAAATTAGTATAATCTGCAAGAGCTTTTTAATTAAAGTGGATGTTGAACATAGGCAAAGGTCTCTAGAAAATTAAAGGTTTCCAGTAAAACTCAAAGTGTTTCCTAGTTAATTAACAGATTACAAGTGGGCCCAAAAAAGTCAAACTTCTTGGCCCTTAATCTGTAATCTTGAACTCTACTACTCAAATTCAGAGAGTTTGAGGTGAAATCTAGTGCCCTAAGGAAGTTCATGGACTGAACCTGTAGCAGAGGTCTTTAATTTGTGAAACTCTCAACAGAAAATCGTTTGTGCTTGGGTGCACCTATGTGCACATAAATGTTTGAGAACACAGCTTTGTTTGAGAGTAGTATGATACAGAGCTAGAATTGTATTGGTTGTTGCAAAATTCTCAGTGTGTGCTTTACAAATTACAGGAAAATCAAAGTGTTAGGATTAGCTGGGCAGTGATGTATGCCTATAGTCCTAGCTACTTGGAAGGCTGAGACCTGACAATCACTTGAGCCCAGGAGTTTGAGGACATACTGCAGTTATTATGATCTTGCCTGTGAATAGCCATTGCACTTCAGCCTAGGGAACTTAGCAAGATCCTGTCTCACAAAAACACAAAATGTTAGGATCCTTGGTAGCTGACCTTTAAAATGACCCCCAGTGATTCTCACCTCTGGAGGCTTAGTCTTCACCAGCCCTTTGAATCAGGACTACTGTGTTTGACCAGTAGAATGCTGCTGAATGTGAGCGACTTCTGAGGCTAGGTCATAAAGGCACTGATTGCAGCTTTCCACCTCATTCTCTTGGCTTGGATTGCTCTGGGGGAAGCCAGGCTCCACACCACTCCACTCAGCCCTTTGAAGAGGCCTATGTGGAGAGAAAAGCCTCTACCAACAGCCAGTACCAACTTGCCAACCACGTGAGTGAACTACATTGACTGATCTGCTGTCCTAATCAAGCATTCATATGACCACATCCCTGCCCAACATCTGATTTCAATCTCATGAGAACTAGAAAGGACTAGCTCTAACCCATAGACACTGTGATATGGGATATTATATGGGTTTTTGTCCTGATATTTAAGTATAACCTTTCTAAACTTTAAACAAGAACTAAAAAATGGGTGTGTATATATGACTAATTTTATGTGTAAAGTAATTTAAAGAACATAGAATTCCTACCACATAACCTGGAACATAGTAGACATTGAATAAATATTTGTTGAATGGATACAGAATCAAAAGAGAAACAACAATTGGAAAACATTTGGAAAAAAATACTGAAAAAGGACTAACATAATATATGAAGGATTAATACATCTCAATAAGGAAGATGTTAATGCCTGCAATACAAGAATAGGTAGACAGTTTGAACTGATGGTTCACATACAAAAAGGAAATACAAATGTCTGTTATTTGAAAATCTTCAATTTCATTAGTAATCAAAAAATACAAATTAAAGCAAGATTTCCTTTTTTGACTACTACATTAAGGAAATATATTGAAATAGGATTATTTCATATTGGTACCATTAGCACTGCTGGTAGAAATGTATTAAATTGGCAGGTACCTTTTGGAAATCAATCTGGCAATATTTCAAGTTCCATAAAAATATTTATATCCATTGACCCAATTTCACTATTAGGAACTTATCCTGATGAAACAATTTAAAATAGAGAGTAATATTATAAATATATTAATTACATTTATATGATTAGAGAAAATATGGAAATAACCTACCTGTACAATGGTGGGGAAGGATAAATATATTACATTATATCTTAGGATCTAAAAAACTTGATGAGGCCAGGCATGGTGGCTCACACCTGTAATCCTAGCACTTTGGGAGGCTGAGGCAAGAGGATGGCTTGAGGCTAGGAGTTCGAGACCATTCTGGGCAATAGCAAATCTCCATCTCTACAAAAAATTAAAAATTAGCCAGGCATGGTGGCATGTACCTGTAGTCCCAGCTACTAGGGAGGCTGAGGCAAGAGGATTGTCTGAGTCCAGGAGTTTGAGGTTACAGTGAGCTATGATAATGCCACTGCACTTGAACCTAGGCAACATAGCAAGATCCTGTCTCCAAAAAATAAATAAATAAAAAACTTGATGACAAATACTCATAGTTTTGGGAATACCCTCCAGAATGCTTTTAGGAATATATAAAGCATATATATTTATAAACACTTTCTTATTCTAAAGCAAGAATTGATGTTGGTTACTCATGGGGGGAGTGAGAGACTACCTTAAGAATTTTTGCCCTTTTGTTATGATTTGAGTTTTTTCATATCCATACATTATTTTTGTAATTAAAAAATCATTATTTAATTTTTTCCCACTTTTTAAAAATTATGGTTGTATTTTTCTTCTCAGGCTGACATAAATGAATACCACAGACCTGGTGTGGTGGCTTAACAGGTATTTCTTTTGTTTTTTAGGAAGCAATTAATTTTCTTAATTTTATCAGAATCTAGGATACAACAAGAAAAACACCCAAAACCACTGAGACAGAAGACCTGACACAATTCCTCCCCCACCACCTACCTGCCCTAGAGTGGGAAAAAGTAGGGCTAAGACAGCTAGGGGAGACCTTGAGCCTCATTCTAGCCCTCCAGGCTTCAGGCCTGCAGGGAGGAGGGAAATGGGGAGGCAGGGCCCAGCTCCCAAGTAGGGGAAACAGAACAGCTGAGGGAAGTCCCCCTTAAAAGACTCCACTTCCTCACCAGCACTTCTTCCCAGGGCAGGGAACCCACAGCAGCAAAAGGGCCCCAGGACCATGGCCAAATTCATGCTTAAGAAGCAGCTGGAGTGGAGGCAGGATAGACACAAGATTATCTGGGCAGAATAAATTGGGGTAGGGGCCTGGGAAGGCCCCATGGGCCAGACCCTGAGGTCATAGGAGGAGGCCCAAAGCGGGGCTCATGAGTGAGATCCTGAGTGAGTTGGTCAGCAGCTGGGCCCCTTTCTCCAGCTGCCTACAGCCCCTCCAGTTCTGCTGCCAGGGGCACCTGCCACCAGGAAAATGGGATAAGAAAGCAGCCCATTCCTGCTGCAGACAGGGCCAGGTGGCTGAGGCCAGGAAAGAAGGCCTGGCCAGGTCTTGCCATCTGCCCCAGAGGCCTGTGGGAAGAAGATGAAGTCAGGAAGGGTGGAGACAGGGGCTCGACCGGCTCAAGATGGTGCCACACTTGCTTCTTGGGTTCCCCATGAGCTGGGGGTCTGCACTGGGGGCCAGCAACTCTGGTTAGACAGGAGGCAGCAGCTTCTCGAGAAATCCTTCACAGTTGCTATCACCTGAGGACAAGAGCCATGCATGACACCCAGATATGTCTTGAACTGGACCCTGGCAGGTGTGACAACAGACCGGAGCTTCTTGACTGTCAGGGTCCCAAACTGTACAGGCATCATGGGGCTCAGTTCCCAAGGCACTGAAGAGTGGCCAGGTCCTTGGCACTGCCATTGGCTGCCTGGAGGAAGGCCCAGTGCAGAGGCAGCCAATAGTTCAATGTCACAATGCCAGCCAGAGGGTGGGGGCAGGTGAGGGCTGTGTAGAGAGACAACACTCCACCCTGTGAAAAGCCTCCCAGGACAATCTGATTGGCAGGGATCCCATTCTTCATCTGGTGCTCCATCAAGGCCTTCATGTTCTCTGCTGCCTTCTTGATGCCAGCCTCGTCCTCTGGACTCAGCCCCATCAGTTCAAACCAGGAGGGCATCACCATCTTCATGTTGAATGTCACAGGGATCTTAGGTGCATGGGGACAGATGTACTTGATATGAGGGAGCTGGATGGTGGAAAGGGCGTCAGCCCAGCTGTGCCCTGTGTCTCTAAGCCCACATACTAATAAAAAAATAACCATAGCTGATCCCCACTCAGCTCCAGACACAGTGGCAGTGTCGGTGAGCAGGGACACAGACATGGTGTTACCACACATACACCACAGGGCTCCACAGTGGGGGCCTCCACTCCCTGGGGCTCTAGGGACTGCTGGGGCAATTCTCCTCTTTCTCCCACAGAGACACACACTCTTCCCCCTTGGCCACCCCTACCCATATATTTACATACATACACTTCTGGACACTGGAAATCCAAGATCAACATGCCTGCAGGGTTGGTGGGTTTTGTTTGTTTGTTTGTTTTTTGAGACAGAGTCTAGCTCTGTTGCCCGGGCTATAGCGTCAGCCTAGCTCACAGCAACCTCAAACTCCTGGGCTCACATGATCCTCCTGCCTCAGCCTCCCAAGGAGCTAGGACTACAGGCACCCATCACCACGGCTAATTTTTTTTCTATTTTTAGTAGAGATGGAGTCTCACTCTTGCTCAGGCTGGTCTTGAACTCCTGGGCTTAAGCAGTCCTCTCACCTCAGCCTCCCAGAGTGCAAGAATTATAGGTGTGAGCCACCATACGTGGCCTCTGGCCTGCCTTCTCATTGTGTCCTCACATGGCTTTTTCACTATGCACGCACACTCTTGGTGTCTTTTCCTCTTCACCTCTTCTCATAAGGACACCAGTCATATTGCATTAGGGTGCAACCTAATTTAACCTCAATTTAACCTCAATCACCTCCTCAAAGGCCGTATATAAAAATATAGTTACATTGAGGGTTAGAGCTTTAACATATAAATTTTGGGGGGACACAATTCAGTCCATACAGTGTTTAAATATAAGTAACATAAAATTTACCATTTTAACCATTTTTAGCTGTACAGATATATGGCATTAAATATATTCACATTGGGCAGGGACTTAGCCTTCCAAAGTACTGTAATCCCAGCACTTTGGGAGGCCAAGGCAGAAGACCAAGAGTTCAAGACCAGTCTGATCAACATAGTGAAACCCTTGTCTCCACAAAAAAATTTAAAACTTAGCAAGGCATAGTGGTATGTGCCTGTAGTCTCTGCTACTCAGGAGGCTGAGCATATTAAGAATTATTGTATTTTTTAATATGCTAAGGATATTGAATTTTGTTCTTAAAATTAATCTCAATTCCAAACAGGATATGAGACTGATGTTTTATCTCAGACCTAAAGGTTTAGCATCTATTAATAGCTTACAAACTGTTAAAATGCCCGACTCCTGATCCTGCTCAGGGAGATTGAAACCTGGGCATCACCAAGATGCCAGTTTGCCATACTTCTCTCATGGACCCCGACACCAAACTCATTGGAAACATGGCACTGTTACCTAACAGAAATCAGTTCAAAGGACCCGCCCCTAAAGAAACAAAAGATATGGATATTGTAGATGAAGCCATCTATTACTTCAAGGCAGATGAGCTAGGCTTCAAAAACTATTAAGAATGAAGCTGACAGGACCTTGATATATAGAACTGTCTACATTTCTGAGTGTCTAAAGAAACTCTAAGGCACAGTGGCTCACACCTAGCACTCTGGGGGGACAACTAAAAATATCATATATACACACACACACACACACACAACACACACATATATATAATATATATAATATAGATTAGCCGGAGAACATGTATAGAGTGAATCATGCACTGTGCTGGGGAAAATTCTGCCTTCCTGATCACTCTTTTGGACTCCTGTGGAAGCCAGGACCTGGCAACGCATGGTGGCACATGCCTGTAGTCCCAGCTACTCGGGAGGCTGAGGCAGGAGGATTGCTTGAGCCCAGGACTGTGAGGTTGCTGTGAGCTAAGCTGATGCCACAGCACTCTAGCCCGGGCAACAGAGTGAAACTCTGTCTCAAAAAAAAAAAAAGAAACTCCAAAAGTGCAATTTCAAAAGCCAAGGCGATAAAGAAATCCATACACTGAGAATCATTAATTTTCCCACTCCTGGAGAGCCTAGTATTAAGTTTTCTACTGAATACAATTCATGCCAAACCTGCAAACAGAGGAATATGAAGTGATGAGAGCCTGTTTACAACAGCTAAGGCAAGAGACTGGACTGAGATTTTTGTGAGAAAGTTTTTGACCCTGAGAATGATAAACCCAACAAGTGGTAAACTTGCTTTGTGAAGAGACAGTTCGTGAACAAGAACAAGACTCTTTCAGAACCTGGACAGTGAAGGGAGCCTGGGCAGCATTTTCCAGTAAGATGTATACAATCCTTTGCCTTTATTTCATAAAGCTTTATATGGAACAGACTAGAGCATGTCTGTACTTGAAAAGCTCTTGATCAAAATTTGGGTGGGGGAGGGGTGAGTGGGTTATAATGATTGAAATTTTCTGCAGTGTTAAGCTGGTGCTTAATAAGAACAAGTAATAATAAAAAAATTTCTAACATTAAAAAATGGCTGAGGCCAGGCGCGGTGGCTCACGCCTGTAATCCTAGCTCTCTGGGAGGCCGAGGCGGGCGGATTGCTCAAGGTCAGGAGTTCAAAACCAGCCTGAGCAAGAGCAAGACCCCGTCTCTACTATAAATAGAAAGAAATTAATTGGCCAACTGATATATATATGTAAAAAATTAGCCGGGCATGGTGGCACATGCCTGTAGTCCCAGCTACTTGGGAGGCTGAGGCAGGAGGATGGCTTGAGTCCAGGAGTTTGAGGTTGCTGTGAGCTAGGCTGACGCCATGGCACTCACTCTAGCCTGGGCAACAAAGTGAGACTCTGTCTCAAAAAAAAAAAAAAAAATGGCTGAGATACTTTGATGTTCAAACATGATCATGTTTTAGCAACTTGTATGAAATATTTAATGAAGATCTCTGTTCTTCATCTATCATATTTGCTTCAAATACTTTTCCTGTTGTTTCCCTTTTTATTTTATTATAATTACTAATGTACCAAAATTAAATTCTAAAAATTTAGTCAAAATTCTATTTTCCTTTTAGGATTTCTTTTTTAACATCTAAGCCTAGACAGTTATCTTTAGTTTAGCAGGTAACTGTTGAATATTTGCTGTGTCTTGGGCACAAGGAACACATTTATGAATATGAAAATCATGTAGTTCACAAAGAACATAGAGATTCAAACATATATAAATACTTAATTCTAATTCCTTTTAATTTCTCATTTATTTTATATTTAAACTCTTAATTTATTTGAAATTAATTTTGGCCAACAATGCTTTTATGGTTTTGTGAGACTTAATGGGGCCCAGGAGGCACAGCCCAGGCTACTGCGTTTGGCCTGGCCATGGCAGCGGCGCCCCTGAAAGTGTGCATTGTGGGCTCAGGGAACTGGGGTTCAGCTGTTGCAAAAATAATTGGTAATAATATCAAGAAACTTCAGAAGTTTTCCTCTACGGTCAAGATGTGGGTCTTTGAAGAAACGGTTAATGGGAGAAAACTAACAGACATCATAAATAACAACCATGAAAATGTAAAATATCTTCCTGGACACAAGCTGCCAGAAAATGTGGTTGCCGTCCCTAATCTCAGTGAGGCCATGCAGGATGTGGACCTGCTGGTGTTTGTCATTCCCCACCAGTTCATCCACAGGATCTGTGACGAGATCACTGGGCAAGTGCCCAAGGACGCGCTGGGAATCACCCTCATCAAGGGTATCGACGAGGGCCCTGAGGGGCTGAAGCTCATTTCTGACATCATGCAGGAGAAGATGGACATTGACATCAGTGTGCTGATGGGAGCCAACATTGCCAATGAGGTAGCCGCAGAGAAGTTCTGTGAGACGACCATCAGCAGCAAAGTAATGGAAATGGCCTTCTTTTCAAAGAACTTCTCCAGACTCCAAATTTTCGAATTGCTGTGGTCGATGATGCAGACACTGTTGAACTTTGTGGTGCTCTTACCACATCGTAGCCCGGGGAGCTGGGTTCTGCGACGGGCTCCGCTGCGGAGACAACAGCAAAGCCGCTGTCATCCGCCTGGGCCTCATGGAAATGATTGCTTTCGCAAGGATCTTCTGCAAGGGCCGGGTATCCACAGCCACCTTCCTAGAGATCTGTGGGGTGGCCAACCCGATGCTCACCTGCCACGGAGGGCGGAACCGCAGGGTGGCCGAGGCATTCACCAGAACTGGGAAAACCACTGAAGAACTGGAGGAGATGCTGAAAGGGCAGAAGCTCCAAGGACCTCAGACTTCTGCTGAAGTGTACCGCATCCTCAAACAGAAGGGACTGCTGGACAAGTTTCCGCTGTTTACTGCAGTATATCAGATCTGCTACGAAGGCAGGCCTATTCAAGAGATGTGGTCCTGTCTCCAAAGCCATCCAGAACATGTATAGAGTGAATCATGCACTGTGCTGGGGAAAATTCTGCCTTCCTGATCACTCTTTTGGACTCCTGTGGAAGCCAGGACCTGGCAACATGATGTTTGCTCAACTGTAATCCCATCATGATATGCATGAATTATTACGGGTTCAGTTTTGAATTGTGAGAGGCAGTTCATTGGCTAAGACATACTGGGCAACAACTGAACACACACGTGAATATATGTGTGTATGTTTATTTCTCATTCTGTGGGTGTTTCTATGAACCAAAACTAAATGTCCTTTTCAAAGATTGAAAAAAAAAAAGAAACTTAATGAAGCACTTAAAATTCACAGTATAGCTGGTTTTTATTTATTTATTTATTTTATTTCAGCATATTATGGGGGTACAAATGTTAAGGTTACATATATTACCCTTGCCCCCCCTTCCCCCTCTGAGTCAGAGCTTCAAGCATGACCATCCCCCAAATGTTGCACATCTCACTCATTATGCATGTATATACCCATCGCCATCTCTCCCCCCCACCCGCCTAACACCCAATAAATGTTATTCCTATATGTCTACTTACATGTTGATCTGTTAATACCAATTTGCTGGTGAGTACATGTGATGCTTGTTTTTCCATTGTTGAGATACTTCACTTGGGTTCCAGCTCTATCCAGGAAAATACAAGGGGTGCTTTTTCACCATTGGTTCTTTTTTGTTTGTTTGTTTGTTTTTGAGACAGAGTCTCACTTTGTTGCCCAGGCTAGAGTGAGTGCCATGGTGTCAGCCTAGCTCACAGCAACCTCAATCTCCTGGGCTCAAGCAATCCTCCTGCCTCAGCCTCCCGAGTAGCTGGGACTGCAGGCATGTGCCACTATGCCCAGCTAATTTTTTCTATATATATTAGTTGGAAATTAGTTGGAAGAAATTAATTTCTTTCTATTTATAGTAGAGACGGGGTCTCGCTCTTGCTCAGGCTGGTTTCGAACTCCTGACCTCAAGCAATTCGCCCGCCTCGGCCTCCCAGGATTACAGGTGTGAGCCACTGTGCCCGGCCCCAAACAGGATTTTATATATTCATTTTTTTGCTATATAATAACAGACAATATTCTGTTTGCCAATTTTTTTAGAATTAAGCTAAAGTAGTAACAATGATTTTTAAAGCTTTTGTGTAATAGAAATTGAAGAAGAGAGGACCTGGTAAGGGGAAATAGGGAAGACATCAGAAGTTTTATGGAAAAATAATTTGAAAAATTAAAACATTTACGATGAGGAAAATGAAAGGCAAACTATTTGTCCTTTGACCTTGGAGATCATGTTTAATAAGTAAGTGTGGAGAAGCAGGTATGATAGCTTTAGTATAGTTGCCATCTGCTCTTCAGCATTTCTCCTTTCAGAAGATAACTACTTATTTTATCCTCTGGAGCATGTCACATATGGGTGCACACGCGCGCGCACACACATGCACACACACAATTTGGGATTATTGATTTCTGGCATTCATTAAGGTAAATCTCTTTCCCCAATCTCCACCTAACACCCCACAAACATATTTCAGTCTCTTTCTCTAGAGTTTAAAAGACATCACTTCTGCTATTGGGATATTCTTCCTCCTAATGTTATATTTAAGATTGTAAATCTTGAAAAGACTCTAAGCATTGCAAGAGGATTTTAAGTGCCCCTCCTTGTTCTTATTCCTAGCCATTATATTATGCCTTTATCAGATTCAGTCCACAGACCTTTAGCTTCAGCCACAATCCAAAATGCCATACTACCAAAGGTTTTAAAGTTAAAAAAAGGAAATAGGGAGGGATTGAGAAATGCGGAAATTCCACTAAGCTCCTTCTTTGGACTGCCTATTTGTTTTTCCCTTAATAGTGGAAACCAGGCCAGGCGCAGTGGCTCACGCTTATAATCATAGCACTCTTGGAGACCAAGGTGGGCAGATCACTCAAGGTCATGAGTTCGAAACCAGCCTGAGCAAGAGTGAGACCCCGTCTCTACTAAACATAGAAAGAAATTAATTGGCCAACTAAAAACATATAGAGAAAAAATTAGCCGGGGCATGGTAGTGCATTCCTGTAGTTCCAGTTACTCAGGAGGCTGAGGCAGGAGATCACTTGAGGCAAGGACTTTGAGGTTGCTGTGAGCTAGGCTGACACCACGGCACTCTAGCCCGGGCAACAGAGTGAGACTCTGGCTAAAAAAAAAAAAAAAAAAAAAAAAATAGTGGAAACCAGCTGTATAGTTTTTAAAATTCTAAAATGCAACAGTTTAAGAAATCATTTAACAAAGATAAATAAAAGTAGATATGCAGACAGTACGAAAGTCCCCAAATAGGTTCTGAATGCAATTGTTAAAAAGAATCTAAATGCCAAATTGATGGGAGATTGAAATAGATGAAGAGATGTTCCTTTCCTGAGATGGGCTATAACCTAGGATAAGCTCTAAATACAGATCCTTAGGCTCTAAAAGGAGGCTCTGCATCTTGAAGAGAAAAGTTAATGGGAAAGTAAGATAAAATATAAGGAATGCTCTAGAAAGTTTCAGTGTACTCTCTGGATAGGATTGTGGGTTATCAACAGCCCAGGCATTCCATTAAATGACACAATATATAGAAAAATAAACTAGATTATTAAAAACACAACCACTTCTGAACCATTTGTAAGATTTGTTTTATAAACATATTTGCAAATCCCTACCACAAATCAGGTACTTATGCTTATAATTATATGAAATGATGTAAAAGGAGTCCCTCATTGTCTACATTAGGATGTTTCATTTTAAGTTAAATAGAATCCTGTTTTTGAGCCCACAGCTAAGACTACTATGGGAGGCGGGTGCTAAGGGCCTCCCCAAACCACATCCATTTTATGTTTGAAAAAACATTCATTTCTGGAGTCTGTCCCTTCCCCACTGAGCCTAGTAAGAGGTGCCAATTAAGAAAATCATCACTACCACCACCATCATCCCCTTTCATTAAGGGGAGAACAGGAACACATGAAAGTTGCCTTTTGGGGGAAGTGCAGTGTTCTGAAAAAAGGCTATTCTGTCTCCTTCCTTTTTGAAGGAGGGCAGGGAATTTTCTCCTTCCCCAAGACCAGGGAAGGCATTCACCAAAAGAATTA